GTTGGCGTCAGGGGTATATTTTCTTTATGACTGCGACTTCAATGAGTTTCGAAATTCTGCTTTAGCTAAAGAATTTTATGAGTTTTACCCGTTTCCAGAAGTGGTGGCTTATATACGCGAATTTCGAGAGTTCGTGAACAAATATTAATTAACTTAATTGATTACGTGTATGTAAATCATAAACTTTTTCAATAATAAAAACATATTTACTTATGGTAATGATGGCATCTTGACGTATTTGCACGTTTTATTCCTATTGCCATATAGCAAATCGTTGCGCAGGCATCTGTCGTAATCAATAATCTGATTTTCAATTAGAGTTAAATAAACTCACATCAATTAACGCGTGGCCTAACTCCATTTGCAGCCGAACACTAATTAATCTAGTTATGCTAATCACTCGTGCAAATACTTTTTATTTTAAAATAGAAGTTGAAACATTATGTTTTTTCGCGTACTGGTGTTATCTGAATTAAAAATCTACGCCAGAGTAAAAATCAATGGCCAATGTTAGTGTTTGACGTTGAACATACATCTCGCAAGATACATACCTCTATTAAGATTACGTCGGACGCGACACGATAACTAGACAGATTAGAGTTCCAGATCTACCAGTGTCATAATTTTCTATTACTTGCATAGCTCAAAATTTCAAAAGTTCCATTAATTAGCTTATACAACTTTGTTTGTAAAGTGATAATAACTTTGGCTAATCGAAACATATGTACGTCTTAATAAAGTAGTTAGCTTATATTAAAATCTCAAAGAGGAAAACGCAATTTCCTCGCTGTTAAAAGAAATTCTTCTGTTTAATACGGTATTATTAAAATTTCTTTAACTGTATTACAAAACACAATGGAGACTATCATTTTAATACGTAATAATACGTATTAAGTTGTATTGTATTGAGATCAAATTCTTTTGAATACAATGTTTCTTTGTAAAAAATTCTGTGAGGAAATTATTTGAAAGTAACAAAGCCATCATTGCCACTTATTTGTGAATAGATTACGGGAATATTTATATTTAACTCTCTGGAACGGGTCCAAAACTTATAAATAATGTAAATTACCACAGGTTAGAGATTAAGATAGTGAAACAAATTGTATCCGATCTTTTTTTAATATTATAGTGTATTTAAATAAAACACTTTAACGGTTTAAAACGCGTTATATTTTAGCTAAAGTTGATTGAAAATTATTTGTAACTACGGCCCGACGTTTCGGATGCTTTGCAGCAGCCTTAGTCATGGGAAATCTGTATTAGGGGATGACTACATAGTGTATTTTTAAAAATTAAATTTTGGAGGCACGGCAGCTCAATTCATTGAGCTATCATGTTTTATCCATCACCTTTTATACCTCACGCACAGTGTAAAATCAACGTTAAAACTTACTTAAAGGATGCATCTATAAGTTATCTATAAGTATAGAAGTAACAGAGAATTTTCTATTGAGTCTCTCATATAATAATGAGACATATTTTGTATAGCCTAGGTCATAATAAACATATAGGACACGGTAGCTCAATTGGTAAACAACAGCACGGAACGCTGTGAATGCCCATTCAAGTCCTGCCCGTATCGCAATTTTATACATTTCAATTTCTTAATCCCTTTTTAATTTATATATAATAGTGCCAACATGTGAAAAATATTAAAGTGTTCACACATAAATTGTAGATATTAGTAGAAAACTACTAGTATCTATTTATATCTAAGATGTAAAACTAACAAATAGCAAGCTGTAAGCTGTAGTTCGCTGGGCCGATTGTGAATTTTTCAACTTTATTTTTGCGTTGCCCTTTGTTTAATGCGGTTTAGGCAATCTAAATACTGTGCGTAGTTAACGCACTATACAATTTAGATAAAACAGTTTAAAGACCTAAAACGATCAATCTATTTATCTTCATTATATAAATTTAAAATTATATTTACCTAAACAATTTTTAAACTTAAGTCATATTTTAAGATTAACCCGTAATAACGACGTGGGCAACGTCGTAGCTTACAGCTATAATTATAAAGTTGCATTTGTTCGTAAAAATAAATAAGATGATCTGCAAAATCACTATTCCATGCGGAGGAAGTCGCGGGCTTAGCTAGTAATAGCTAAGCAATTTGAGCCTCATCACTCTGACATATATGTGAAATAATGAAAATAAATTTTGAATTGGGTAATGTTTATGAAATATCTATTTAAATAAGTTTGATAAGGTTGCACAGAAGCAATTTTAAATAATCAATCACAAACCATTGTAACGGTCCGCAGAAAAAATGGACACTGGTACTTGTTCCAACTTGAATATTTTATAAGTGAAGGAACTGAGTTCACAAGATCTCGACTCGTTAACTATGCATGTTTTAATCTTTCTCGCTTCTCTTTTTTTATTTATCTAATCTAAAAAGGACGGTTCAGCTCAGTAGACCATTGGAATAAGTGCTAATTCAAGCACATGGTTATTTTTAAAGATAGATATTATGGAGGACAGACAAGGTCCAATCAAGGTAAAATACCACAGCCATAAAACATTCAAACATGATGTGCCGTCGACCTGTTCTGGTTGGATATTCGGAAATCCACGAACTGAAACCGAAACGCGATCAAACTTCAAAGCCATTTCGTCTTTGGTGGTGACCCAGACGGAATTTCGGCAGTTCAACATGCTTCTGAAAAATTATAAATTGATTAGAAAAATGTTGGACCCGGTGGTAATCGAACCCACGGCCCCTTGATTATTAGCGAAATATTGCTACCATAACACTAACGAGGCAGACAACAATTTAAATAAAACACATTAAGGGTTTAAAACGCGATAACGGTTTATTACGTTAAACTTATTTAGTTACTTATTTAAATTATGTCTACGATTTATCTTTTCTACTAATTATTGTCATTTCCAAATCCTCTTTGAAAAGAGGGCTTTGAGTAGTGTGACCCACCATGGTGCTGGAGCCAAAAAGTCTCCCCTTGACCACGGCTGCTGCAAAGCATCCGAAATGTCGGGCCGAAGTTAAAAATCATTTTCAAATAAGTTTAACTAATATATCACGTTTTAAACCGTTACAGTGTTTTATTTAAATGTGTACTACTCGCGTAAACTATAGACAGTATCAGACAACAATTTAAAAAAGTTATGAATGATGTACCTAATATTATTGATATTTTTATTAAATGATCAATGTCGCTTATAAAGAATTTCTTTATGAATACTGACTGTAATCACAAGTAGTACACATTTCAATAAAACACTATAACAGTTTCAATCGCTAATTATATTAGTTAAACTTATTTAGTTAGTTACTTATTTAAATTATTATCTTTTCTACTAATTATTGTCCTTTCCAAGTCCTCTTTGAAAATAGGGCTTAGTAGGAGTAGTGTGACCCACCATGGTGCTTTAGAGCGTATTGGTGGGCCTAATCAATTTTGCAAACAACCTCCTCAACTTTTTACGTTATAGCTGTAACCCACGACGTCGAATACCTCCCGTTCTAGTAAGTTACTATTAAAAGATAGTCATATACTACCACTGACAATTTTTTAAGATTATTTAAAGAAGATTAATTATTTGATACATATCTGTTCGTTCCACATTTCCTGTTTCTTCGCTCCTTTTGGTCACAGCCTCGTGTATTATAGCCTAAACCTCGATAATAGGTCTCTTCAACAAAAAAAATAACAATATTTTATCAATGCGAACCAGCAGTTCCTGATATTATCGCCTTCAAACAAACTAACAAGCTCTTCGGCTTTATTTAGTATAGATATTTTGATTACATAGAACAAGCCAAGGTAAAATTTTTCGGAGTAATTAGTATTTTTACGAAAAAATAAAATTACTCATTAAAAAATTAACAGTAAAAACAGTTAAGTTTATACTTAAAGATATATTATGGCAATAACTGTTTTCTTTATTATTATGTGGTGAGTAATATTTTAGGACATTTTTATATATCTTTGTGGTTGAATAAGTACATATATTTAAGAAATAACTTAATTTATATCTATACTAATATATACAGCTGAAAAGTTTGTTAGTTTGTTTGAACGCACTAATATAATAAACCACTTGTTCGAATTGATATTATTTTTGTGTTACTTAGAGCGTTTATCGAGGAAGGTTAAAGGTTATAAAACATTGCGCTGTAACTAACAGGAGAGAAGAATCAGCGAGAAATGTGAAAAAAAATGGAGGAAATTATACATCTCTGTCGGTTTCCGGTGCGTACGCATATATATAAATATATTATAATTTTGCTTACAGTAGACGACCATAACTTTATCTAAACTATTGGGTAGTATAATATAAGGTGAAAAATATAATTATTATAAAGTAAGCTGTAGTGACTAATTTTTATACACAATAATAATTTATTTAAAATTTGACAAGTCAAAGCCGCTTTTACTGACAACCGTCGATAAACTTTTTCTTTACGTTATGAAATGCCTTTAAGAAACGGGTTTTTTATATTTATTGGTTATTACCTTATCTCTTCAGTCATTCTCAGTCCTTCAGCGTTGAACTACGAACCTATTGTTATTAAGAAGAATTATTTATTTTTATAATAAAGTAATAAAAGTTACATTTTTAAGCGTGTCAGTGCCTACTTTGTCTACGCAAGTGGTACACATTAAAGCAAAAAAATTAACGGTTTGAAACGCGAAGTATATTAGTTGATTTATTTTTAATTGTTGTCACGGAGGGACCACGGCTCTTGCAAATATTCGGGACGTGTGGCCTTAAACAAAATAAACTGAAGATAAGGTAACTAAAATACTTCGCGTTTTAAACCGTTAAAAAAGTATTACTTAAATTAGTGCTTACTAAAAAATAAACAAACGTTTTCAATGAAATAATTACATTTAAATTAATACAAAAAACAACAGTACATATAATATTGTTTTTGATCTTGTGTGTCAGTGTTTCCTATAGGAGGTAAGGGATTTAGTGGCAGGAAATATCCAATGTTTATTTATATATCCCATAGTTACAGAAAAATGCCGCCAAATTCAACACAAGAGAAATGCATAGAACCATCAGAAGCCACCATGGAAAAGTTGGTACCTCCACAGGCTGCGCCGAGGGAATACAAAATTGTTTATAGAAACATAATAACATTTGGCTACGGTCATCTTGCTGCTATGTATGGACTATATCTCGCCGTTACTGCAGCTTGTTGGAGCACTATATTTTTTAGTAAGTGTATTGAGATTTCTATTAGAGAATTTTCACAGGGTTGTACTGTACCGTACTATCTTTTATGATGTTCAAGCAAGGGTTTAAAAATTTAAAAATTTACTTTAGAAAGGTTGAGGTTGTAATCGAACCCGAATCGAATGTTTAAGAACTTGAATCAGCCGTAGTATGCATTTATGATAAATTTTTATAAGTCGGAAAGTCTTACAGATATTGGGAAGGAAATCTTTTGGGTCTGAATCACTTATCAATTTTATTTACAACCGTAGACAAAGTATTTCAAAATATTGTGCTCTACTAGTTTGATTTATATTTTTATTGCTAAGCAATGTTTTTTTCAATTAAAATAGGAAAGCGTCGCCATTATAAACTGCAATGTTTTATTTTTTTTCACTACAGATTATATTCTATTCGTATTAGCTGCTATTGGGGTTACAGCTGGAGCCCATAGACTATGGACACACAGGGCATATAAAGCTAAGATGCCATTACAGATTATCCTAATGGTTATGAATACCTTGGCTTTCCAGAATACAGCTATCGATTGGGTTCGAGATCATCGGATGCACCACAGGTAAATTATATTTTAAGACTCATGCGTTTTGAAAGTCGAATTCTTCTAAAACTTCATTTTTGTTTTGATTGTTTTGAAAAATATAGATGTCCTTTTATATTTTTTAAGCTCCTTACTCAAAGGGTAAAATTATATTTAGACAATTATAATTTTAAAATAAAATTTATATTTAATAGTGGCTAATATGCAAAATGGCCAGTTTTGCTACAAAGAATTAGGGACTTGTACTATTCACAAAATATTTTCGATGTTTAAATATATAGTGCTTCATGTGCACTCATAAAAACTATTAATGTTGGTATTTTTAAAAAAAAACTTAAAAATAAACTTACTCAAAAACTGTCTGTACTTTGAGTAGTACACATTTAAATAAAACACTTTAACGGTTTAAAACGCGATATATATTAGTTAAACTTCCGAATAAGAAACGTCGGGCCGTAGTTAAAATAATTCTCAAATAAGTTTAACTTAATATATATCGTGTTTTAAAGGGTTAAAGTGATTTATTTAAATATATATGTACCCTCTTGATAATTTAAAAAAACAACACAAGCGATTTGTAATAGGCTAATGTAGATACGAAACCCTTTTAACGCGATTATGACTTGAAATTAACAATTTTTAATATTATCTGTTTTATTAAACGTCGACTCTAGATTAACTAAGTAAAAGTGTGTTGATTAACAAAGATAACATTTTGATTGATTGTATGAATTAAGTGTTAATTGAAGAAGGAAAATATCTTCAACGTAATAATTACTTAATAACAACAGTCAATGAAAATCGTTCCCAGGATACAAGAGAGCAGTTATTATGTATGTTTTATACTTGTATTGAGTCATGTTACGCCATAATTTCGACAGACACAGGCCACATGCCTTTGGAAAATTACATGTTATCGATTTTCTTGGTCATTGACAAGCTTGCTTTCTCACGACGATTTCCTTCCATATTTCCCGTACGATCGGGGGTCGATATAACGACCTCAGCCAAGTTCATAACATTAGACAAACACCGTTCTTTTCGTACTGATAGAGGAGCCATGGTGGCGGCGAGTCACGGGTGTAGTTTGTCTAATACGTTATGCGTTTAAAACTGTAAGAAGGGGTTTTTTTTACAACTTCTCATTAGATAACGTTAGATTTTTACAAAGCAAAAGTAGGTAGATCAATTATACAAATAATCGTGACAATTACGGCTTTCCATCGGGTGATACCCTGTACTGTTATGAAATAAACAATAGAATTGCAATTAACACAATTAATGATGATGATGTCTGATGATGTTTTTAGGAAGGCGCTCAGATATTTTTTAATAATAATTAATTATTTTTTAATATGCGTCAGCTGTTGGACAATTAAATTTAATTAATACAATTCAGGTATTATGGAAATGATTTAAGTAATGGTTTTCCTCAAGCCGTTAGTTCGATTAAATATTAAAAATTCCAATAAAACAGTATATATAGTATATTGACAATTTTATTATGTGAATATATTATTCTTCTATTAACATAATTAAAAAGCGTATTTCGTTTTAAAAGGGTCGTGTTAAGTGCTATTTGATCAATGCGTGGAAACTGGACTTCTAACCAATTGAGCTACCGTGTGAGTTGGTGGTTAAAGCACGGAACGCTGTGGATTTTTTTTTTCAATTTTTAATTTTTATATAGTCCCATCATATAACATGTAAAAAAATATTAAAGTTTTCAAAGAGTTCACTATTATTATTTTATCGCAGGTATAGTGACACAGATGCAGATCCTCATAACGCAACCCGCGGTTTCTTCTATTCTCACGTAGGCTGGCTCCTTGTTAGGAAACATGAAGAAGTGAAGAAGCGAGGCCAGTTTATAGACATGAGCGATATCTATGCGAATCCTGTACTACGGTTTCAGAAGAAGTAGGTTCTATTTATAACATGATTTTAAAAGTGGTGGCAGCTATATTTATCAATTTGAAGATATTATTACTTACTGCAACAAAGAAGCGTAGTAATTTTGTATGAAAAGAAGAGAAGAGAATGTCGACGAGAATATTTTTTTAATTAACGTCACCATGTGTGAATGGTTAAACTAATGGTGTTAGACGCAAGAGATCCTGTGTTTGAATCCCAGGAATATGTAAGCTTAAAAGTATATGATCCGATGATAGAAATACCCCAGTCTAGCATCTAAACACAATACGCTGTCGATCTATTTTTGCTTTGGATAATCGGAAATCCACAGACTGAAACCGAAATGTGATTAAACTTTACGGCTTTTTCATCTGTGGACAATGGTTCGTAACCCGGATGGAATACCACCCATTTATTATCCAGATATCCAGACGAAGGCAACCATGTTTCAGAAAAATTATAAATTGATTAGAAAAATGTAGGACCCGGTGGGGATCAAACCCACGACCCGATGATTATTAGCCGCACATTGCTACCATTACACCGTTTTTATTACCGTCAAAAACTGGAAAATTCGTTTTGTGTACTTAACTATTTCTTTCACTATTTTTTTCAGATACGCCCTTCCCTTCATTGGATCCGTATGCTACCTCCTCCCTACAATCATACCGATGTACTTCTGGGGAGAAACCCTTAACGTTGCATGGCACATGTGCCTCTTCAGATACGTCATGAATCTCCACATAACATTCCTCGTGAACAGTGCCGCTCATCTTTGGGGGTACAAACCTTATGACGAACACATTCAGCCAGTTCAGAATGAAGCTGTCAGTTTCATTGCTTTCGGTGAAGGCTTTCACAATTATCATCACGTCTACCCCTGGGATTACAGGACTGCTGAGTTAGGTAATAATAAGTTGAATGTTTCTACCTTATTCATCGACTTCTTCGCCAAGATCGGGTGGGCATATGATCTTAAGACAGTACCACAGAATATAATTGACGCAAGAGCAGAGAGAACCGGCGATGGAACAGATTTGTGGGGCCGTAGGAAGGATAATTAATTAATACAAGGGAGTTGTGTAATAAAGGTTCCAAATGGATTTGAATATCAAATTCTAGACAAATATATAAATGTGATATTAATTTTTAAATACTTAAATTATAATTTATAGAAACTGTGGTCGATAAGGGTTTCTAATGAAGTATGTAGCTAAGGTTTTTTATAGCAATTGTACGATAGAAACATTAACATATGGATTCACGTGTACGGTAGTATAAAAAACAAAGAAATGAAGTTTTTATTAAATAAAAATATTTACATTGTTTCTGTGTGTATTTTTGTTTACATTTTCCTGAAAATTACTTTTGCAAGAAGTACGGTAAGTATTGCATAAATAGTATATATGAATCTGGACCGCCTCTGTAGCCAAATGGATAAACGTATCGCTTAGCATTGCAAGCGCGAGAGGTCCTGGGTTCGAATCCCTGGGAAGCAAAAATTTGTTTTGATCAGGCAAGGCACAGAAGTCTGATCAACTACTTGCCTGTTAAAGTACGGATCAGTGAAACGGACACAAAGAAAAAAAAATGTGTTCGCCCCATGCCCCACGACTGGGGTAACGGGATTTCACAAAAACAAATATATGACTGCTATAGCTATAGCTGCTACGGGTAGAGTGGCCTAATAACAAAAAACATAATTTTCAATGAGGAAAATAAAAATTCGCAATTAACTTAAGCGGATATGAATTTGTACTATTATTAGTTTAACAATTAGGTTTGTTTTACAATTTTCGGTCAGAGTGCTCCTGTAGATTAACATTTTTAGACTATGAAAATATAAAATTGCAAGTCATAAAACTGCAGTTAAGCTGTTCTGCTTCTAGCGGCCTCATATAAGTAACCGACTGGTCGATCCCCATCGGGTCTCTGCTTAACACTCTGCCTGGAAATCTTGATATAGAATTTATATTATGCCACGAACCACAGTTCAGGGAGCTTTGGAGTCGTACATACGTTCTCAGGGCACCCTCAAAGCACCGTAGCGGGCTGGTGGTGTGCTTTGGCTTCTGGACGGCTATTGTCTCCGAGGATGTTGTAGTACGATTTACCACACTCCTCACGTCCTCTTACCCGACGTGAACGTGCAATAGGCATTCCCACCATCAGTTACATAAAGGGTACTTCTTTTTCCATCATCTGGGTACAAGGCTTGTCTACCCTCATAAAAAATATTAATGTTGTAAAATTAAATTCTCTTTAAGGTACACTTCAAGTGCTAAAAATGTAATATTTCATAATTGATTAAGTTACAGTTTCATCACTTTGACTCACATCTCATTAGCGAGCTTTTAGCAAGACGTCGAGCTTTTGGCCTGATTAAACTATCGTGTAACCTATGCTTTCTACATTTAACTTTAGCAGAATATTATGTTGATATATAAGACATAGTATTTATTACTCTGAGCATCAAATTGAGTAAGAATATAATAGATATAAGTTTAACTCTGAAAAAGCAAACAAGATACAAGAGAAATAATAAAAATATACTACGTTACATATATACGAACATAAAGTAGATCCAAGAAGTTATTTTATAGAATAGTTTAAACATAAAAAGAATAACACTAATTTACAGCGCCATCTTGTGTGTCGCGTTATAACAAATATCAATACATACACATTTAATAGATATACAACTAAGTGTAGATTTAATAAACTAAAATTGCAGTAACTGCTAGGATAATTATTATATTTAAATAAAATACTGTTAACCGTTTACACCGCGATGTAAATAAAGTACCTGATTTACAATTTATTTTAACTACGCTTAGGATACTTAGCAGCAGTCGTGGTCACGGGGGACTACAAAGCAGGGTTTAAAGTAAACTAATATATTTCTCGTTTTAAACCAATAAAAACATTTTATTAAGGTATAGATAACGTAATTTATTTCCAAATAATTTTATATTCAAATATAATATTTTTTTCCTGGTGTCTCCTCAATGCAAGATTGAGAAGATTTATCTACTCGTAAACAACCCCTTGTAACACAATAAGAATATTAAGTCAAGAAACATCGTATTTAATTAATTCACAAAAATGTGCATTAATCAAGGATACCCTTCGCATTCTTTGTTCCTGAAAAATGGCGAGATAAAACAGATTCGCTTAAAAAATAAAACTCTTACAGCTGGCGATTTGTTTCTGAAATTGCAGGTGTTCTTCAAAGTAAATCTGTTATGGACTTGTTATATAGACCTCGCTTATCGCTTATAGCTACTAAAATATAATATTTTTCATCATCGAAACTTATACTTAGTAGCGACAATAAAGTACTCAAAATATTTAATTGCTTTATACGAGTTCATAGGTATATTATAAAATTATCGAGAGTGGCGTAAAGAGCTTTTTATGGGGGTTTATTTATGTATAAAATAGACCGCGTTTGTAAACCTCTTCTCCATTTTTAATAATTAGACCACAACGTCGGTCGAGCCCCGTCGTTCTTGCTAGTTAATCTTAAAATATAGACACGAATATCCTACATAAATAGTGTTGTGGACATTTTTCTAGATCATTTAAAGAGGAATCATTTTTGCGTATTTTTAACTATAAATGCTCTCCAACACAAAAATAATTTTTCAATTTTAACCAGTAGTTCCTTAGCGCGTTCAAACAAAGAAACTAATTCTTCAAATTTATATATTAGTATAGATTACATTAATATTAGTACACGCGTAGGAATTTACTTCATATAATATGCATAATCTTAAGAATAATAATGTATTTGTATTTAAAGTTATGCAAATATTAACAATGTGGATAATTCAACATCCTTAATACGATTAAGCTTGTGCCTCTTCGAATATGTATTAAAAATTTTACTTGAGCCAATGGCCGCGTTTCGTGTATTCGTGTAATACATTTTTACTAGCAAAAATCCTCTTTTCATCAGTCTCCCGTAATGACGGCAAAGCAACCAAAACGTCGGGCAGTTAAAAGAAATTAAAAATAAGTAAGCTGTGGCGTCTTCCACACATTTATTTATTAAATATATAACTATTATAGTGCATTGTATTATTTATTTATTTATATTTAGTATTCAAATTTACACACATATTTTAATATTATCGATATATAATACAGATCGTGTTTTAAACAGTTCAAAGTTTTTTATTAAAAATGTCGATATTTAAACGTAGACAAGAGACAATTCTTAAAATCCTCTCGATTAACTTTATAGTTTAGCTTCGTCGTTGGACGATCGGCCGCTGATAGGGAGATGATTTAGTCGCTACTGGATTTCTTTTTACTTTATACTTTTTATCTTTACGCGACATTTGGCGCCGTTTCAGCCGACCTCAACACGCCGACCACAGTTCATATAATTATACATTCGTTCAACGATATGTTTATTTTCTGTTTTTGTTTATTATATATTATTTGATGGTCGGTGAAATATTCCAGGCATGTATCACCTAAACTATGTACTGTAAACTTATTTTGGCTTTGGATATTTGGAAATCGACAGACTGAAACCGAAACGCGATTAAACTTGACGACTTTTTCATCTGTGGTCGATGGTTTGTGACACATGCTTAATTTCGATATTCCTACCACGCAATATATATAATCCAGATTTCCAGATGAAGTCAAATGGAGTTACAGAAAAACTATAAATTATTTAGAAAAATGTTCGATTATTATTTATGACCATTATACCAACCAGTGCTGTGATGAATAAATAATAATATTCAGAATAATATAATAATAATAAAATTATGATATACAATTACTAAATCGCTGGTTATTACTACGACATTTCTTTCTCTAGAATTCCAATTGAGCATCGAACCAGTAAAGAAAAAAACTAAAAACAAAGACAAATATAACAAAAAGACAAGTATAAAACACTGTACCTTTTTAATTTTATGATTTGTACCTAAACTACAAACTACAAAGGAACGTATCAGTAAAATGGACACAAAAATATGTTGGCCCCATCCCCACAAGGGGATACGGGATTTCGTACAGCTAAACTACACAAATTAGGTGACAACATAAAAATGTTTTAACTTAGTCGCTTTGTGATTTTCTAAAAGTACTGAATCATCTATTACGCTTAGCCATCTCATCAGTATTTATGTACACAATGAAAACGTGAGAAATTAATTAAATGCGTATAAAATTAAAAGGTTTGTTTGAATAACAAAGAGGTTGTAAGAAATTAGTAGTTTTCCTTAATGTTTAAAATCAATATTTGTAATCTTCAACATTATTGAATCGGTGGAGTATTAATAATTAATATATGTATGAGTTGTTAGTTCAGCTATTTTTTAAATATACTATATTATTTATTTATTACAAAGAACAAACATACAAACTAAACTTTTATACTAAAAATATGTAGTGTAATGGGCCGCATTATTGCTAAAATGCGATCTCTTCCAGGCAGCCCAATATGAAAGAACAGAAAGTATATGGGAAAAACGAGATGTGCAGGGTGGCGGAAACAATATATACAATCTTTTAAAAATCTAAAAACAAAACTTGCACACAATTACTAAACTTATCTACGGAAATTAATTCTAAATAAGAAAGAATACACAAGAAAATTTTTTCAATTTATTTTCGATTTTTAAATTATATAGTGCCTTCATGAGCAATAATAACATGTGAAAATATCAAAGTTTTCAAACATATTGACTAGTTTATGCATATTTTTATTGACCCACTGTTTAAATACGTTCTATAGACAGCACAACGGTCAGCTCATATTTTCTCTTTAAGCCCATTGTGTTTATGTGATATAATAGTTTAATTCTTTTGTTCGTATTAAACTGTAAAATCTATAAAGGATTATACAAATTTCCTTTTATTTCGGTTTAATTTTTCGTCGCCATTTTATTTCTCATTATTTGTAACCTTCGGTTAATAGTTAGGCTTATAATTACCAAGCTAAGTTCAACAGTATGGAGATGAAACCAGTTGAATTTTAATGCTTGAGATTGAAGTCATAAAAGGTAGGTTAGTACCTCCTATCACTACTGACTAAATC